AATGTTTAAAAATTGAGTATGCGTTGGTATAGATTTACAAACACCAACACCAATTTGTATGCATAGAATGTATAGGTCGCTTTTTCGCGAATAAAACAAAAAGCAGTTTATAAGTGCCTTTACTACAAGAAAATCCCCGTCACACTATTAATATTCATCATTAAATAATATAGACTATTTTACAATATTATTATGTACAAAGTATAATCATCAACAAATAGCTTTCGAAGATGAAATCCTTTCCTCTAACACTCTAAACAGCTCAAACGACTTTATCGTGATTTAAACCTGACCTAAACTTTTCCGAAATCCCTGATTTTTTTTTAATTCATCGAAAACTTAATTCTTAAGTAAAATATCTTTATTTTTATYTGTTATTCAAAAAATGAAAAACATGTAAAAATAATACAAAATATTGTTATTCAAATAAATTATGTATAGAAATATAGAATTATAATACTGCCGTTTAYTGTTAGTAAATGAAATAAATATATTTTGAAAAATTGAATATGAGGTAAGGTCAGTCACTCGGTTTGTGATGGTTAGACCTACCTATAAAAAATGATAGTAAAATATTACAGATTAGATAAGTATACAGTACCTAGGTTGAATTATTTTTGTCAAAAATACATCATATTTTTATAATATACTCTAAAAGTTTCAAATACTTACGAATAAATGGTTATTTATCGTTTACGTCTATCTAATTTTCTTTATTCACATCACAAGTAATACATGCCCTCTTAATTTTTATTTTTGTCATTAAAAATCCCTCGAGGCCTTGATGCATAGTTTTCTTTTTGAAGTGTGATGATTGGATAAATTAAACTGATTTTCAGAAATTATAATAGTCAATTTTAAAATATACCTACTAATACAGTAATACAGAAATATACAGTTAATATGCCAATTCATTTAAAATGTTTGATAATTCACTAGCTTAAGGTTTCATTTTCATAAGATAATAGATAGGTAAAATAAAGTTATAATGTAGCAGACATCTCMTCCCTAAAATAACACTCCTAAGCATATTATCTAAATTGTTAACAGAGCACGGATTTCAAAGCAATTGCAAAGTTATTTTCTTATCGAATTTTTGATTTTTGTCAATAATMTTAACGAATCATAATCGTTTGAAGTTACTGACTAAATATTYCTGCATATTTAATGGTTATTGCATAGTTTTGCATATTTTTATGGAATTCGAAATGTATTGAATATTGGAGCGAAATTTAAAAAAGGTATAAAATAATTTTTTGTCGAGTAGAAAAATCAAAAATTAATTTTGTAGGCACTTAACAATAATAAAATTATTATATAGATAAAGATAAGATAACTAATCGATTACTATACCTAAACTTTTATGTCAGTAAGAAAAAAACTAAATATTCAAAATATTACATTAAAACATTTCAATAATTGATTAAATAAAAAAAAATCAAGCTTTTCCAGTATCGAAGTGAACGACACTTCAAATAAAAATAGTTATCTTTCTAATAAAAAAAGTTCTAGTAATTCTATAACAAGTAAATAAAGTACTTTTAGGCAAAAATGTTTGACTTGTTATTTATCAAAACTCAATAATACTTAGTTACTTAAATATGCCCCCAACCACTTCAATTGATTTCGAACAATCGTTCTCGGYGTTAAAAATATGTTGACAGATAAACGTCACAGCTTTACTGAAGAAAAACTAAAAATACATGCGATTATTCATTTTAATAAAAATAAAAATGTAAAATATATATTAATTTATATTTCATAAGCCTTTTTAC